GGCACTCTCCTCACGTCTTGTTAGGGAGACTACTTCATGGACGGTGTAGATGCTTGACCACTGCACTATACACCTGAAGCTGATGTTGAACAATAATGAATGTAAACTATAACTTAATATATATATATATATATATATATATATATATATATATATTCATGGGATGTGGGGTATAGTGTGAGGAATGGAGTCAATGGAATTGTAACAGGTATGTATGATATTGGGGGGGTGAATTGGGGGAGAGGAGTTGTCACTTTGTGAGGGGTGGAAAGTGTTAACTATTGCATTGTTTTGTACACCTGAAACTTTAAAAAAAATCATGCAAGCCTACACCTAAATATTTACCAGTTCAGGAGGATAAATGAATCTATTCACTTTTTAGGAGCCCTGGGATATTTGGAAAGTTATTTATTAGCCTGGTTTTATAATAAAGTTTACCTAAAGCATAAAATCCAGCTCTTGCTAGCTGCTCCTTGTTAACTGAGTATGTCCATGTCCCAAAAGTAATGATCCGTGCTTCATAATCTGCCATCGTTGGATTTCTTGGAGGATTTGTTGAATTTGGGAAATTCCTATCAAAACTCATGACATCAGATTCACTTCGAATATTAACATTCCGGCCCAAAACAAAAAAGCAATTAGGAAAGTGTCGCCTGTGTTCTGACCACGCACGATCACAAGGTTCCCAATTTTTCAGTTTTCCACCACAACAAAAGCACTGCACTTGATCATCAATACCTGTGTAGTAGAGCCCAGCACTAACTAACTCTCTTGGGTTTAAGTGGGCATATTCTGGCCAGTTCTGAAATGACTTTAATCTAGCTTCTTCACTACACATGGCAGGGTTCCTTGGGTATATTGTGTCTGATATATCTACAACCTGTCCAGTTCTCAAAAGATAGTCTGCGTGAGTCTCAGATGGCCTATCTAAAACAAAATGATTTCTGTTTCCCAGATCATTTTCAGCTTTGTACTGATCACTTTGGACACCAGGATTTGTAGGTTGTGCAGCATTATTTTCAGAATAAAAGCCATTGATAAATCTGCAATTTGGGGATACTTTCCTGTGTCTTCCAACTGCTGAGTCTCCATATTGCCATTTATTTACTGCTGCATGACAACTAAAGCACCGCACAGTGTCTCCTTCACCAGTATACAGAAAACCAGCTCGTGCTAGCGTTGATGCTGAAACAGGACTTCTACTCGGAAAATTAGCAAAAGTTTTTAATCTATTAAGCTCTTTTACAAATTCTTCATCCTTATCGATGTCTGCAGGTACACAAGTTTTAGATCCTTCAAAACTGTTAAAAGTCATCTTCTCTTCAAAATAGGACTTGTCCACCTTTTCTAAAAAGAGAACATTATATTAGGAAATCCAAAATGTGAAACACAGGCAATTACTTTTGATATTAGGAGTTAACAAATTACCCATTGATGGCATAAAATTAAACAATCTCTAAGAAACACTCTATTGGATTGTCAGAAAAGTCATGATGTATTTTGTCTGTTTTTCAAAGGTCACTTATTTATATAAAGAACAAAGATCAATCAATGATATAGTGCCCGTTTTGGTCGATAACCTTTTGCCATCTTTCAGTGAGCTTCATAATCCCTTGTTCATAGAAGGACCTCTCTTTATTTGCATAAAACTGTACAAGGTGCTGATTTACAGCCATCTGAATTGAACGCTATACCATGCAAGGAGTTTTGAAGAAAGTGAAACAAGTGGAAGTCTGACAGTGCAAGGTCAGGCTAGTATGGTGAGTGTGGCAAATCATCCCATCCAAGCTCCAATAATTTTTGACGGGTGATCAAACTTGTGTGTGGTCTCACATTGTCGCGATGGAAGACAACTCCTTTACAATTAACAAGCTCTGGACATTTCTGGATGATGGATTCAAACTGTCCAATTGCCGACAGTATACATTCAAATTGATTGTTTGGTTCCTTGGTAGGAGCTTGAAAAACACGACACCTTTAAAATCCCACCACACTGAGAGCATAACCTTCCTCTGATGAATGTCTACTTTCGATGTTGTTTGAGGTGAATCATCAAGTTGGGACCAAGACCGTCTGCGCACCACATGGTTGTCAACAATCCACTTCTCATCACCAGTTATCAGTCGCTTCAAAACAGGATTGTTTTCTTCACGTTTAATAAGCATATTGCAGATGTTTATTTATATGCACCATCAAATGAACTTCGAGTTCATGTGGAACCCAGATACCGAGCTTGCTTATGTATCCCAGCTTCTTCAGGTGGTCGTGAACGCTTGAAGATGGATGTTCAATGTTTCTGCAATCTCTCGTGTCATGTAACGTGAGTTTCACTCCACCAATGCCTTTATTTTGTCATCATCAACTTTGGTGGGCCTCCCTGACCGAGGAGCGTCATTCAGATAAAAATCACCAGCACAGAATTTTGTGAACCATCATTGGCACTGACATTCTTGTAGAGCATTGTCACCGTAAACTTTATGCAACTTTTCACAAGCTTGATGCGTGTTCTTCCCTTTATGGAAGTAAAACAGTAAAATATGGCAAAAATGCACAGTTTGGTCTTCCATCTTCAACTTGTAAAATCTCCAAAACTCAACCAAATAGCTCAATTTTTTCTTAGAATGAAGCTAGAACTGTCAGCTGTCAAATGACATAGCAATGACATCGATGCAAATGGCTCTAGTACTTCCAAAAATGAACTAGTGCCATCTGTTGCAAACATGCATCATGACTTTTCCAACAACCCAATAATTCTAAATTCTAGAGTTCTATATTAACACATAACTCATCATAAAGTAAAAACTAGCATTTTTGTTTTCTCTTTTAGAGGAAATATTTAACTATTCATTTTTAAGTGCTTATTTTACATATAGAAACTATGTGATGCAGATTAAAATTAACCATATAAAATCATTAATTAGGAAAAACATGAAAGGAGCATAAAACATGCATTCTTAAATTCTATGCATAATTGTCATAATGGATATTATATATTCAAGGCATCAAAGTTCAGTTTCTACAACAAAAAAACCCAAACGTTCAGGATACTAATGAATTACATTTTAATACTTCTTTACTTTTTTGCTTAGCAAAAGATAAGTTACTCATAATATTGAGTCCAATGTATTCTTTAAGAACATCGAAGTTTCTAAATTTTATGCACAGGTAATTTTTGTCAGAATTGGATCATTCAGATGTATATCATATTGCCCTCTAGAGGGTGGCTCAGGAGAAAATAGTAAGGATGTGTAGACCTTAATGCAGTTACGTTTGCTATCAACTTCCCATGGTCAAGGAACAATGTGTTCAAATGGAAGAAAAGAACTATTGCAGCATCATTAGATCTGCCAAATTATAGCTGTGTAATATTTCACTCAGAAAAAATTATAAAAGAAACTAGTTGGGTTATGAGAAGGGTGGTCAGTTACTTATCCCCCAAACCTGGATACTTTTCAAAGTGAAAAATGATGATACCAATAACTACACTGGAACAAGTGTAAATCAGGGTTGCTCCAGGCAAACCTGGTTCTCCAGAATCTTGCACTGTTCCTAACACTGTGTTCTGTATTTGCTTGTCAAATGCAAAATAAAAGAATGGTCACAATGATTCTTTCTCTATTTCATATGTGCATTAATTGGTTTCTTGGGAAAAATTACCAGGTCTTTTGGCATTATGTTGGCACAATATGTCTTGGAACATCATCTCTCTTAATGTTCAACACAAGGCTTCTGTCTTGCACGCTGGCAATGGACATCAAGTCTTTCCTAGCCATGTCAATTTACAATGGCATTAATTCATATATTACTCAAGACCTGAGTTATATCTGCTTACAACAATTTTTGGAAGATTGTCTCCATGATGTTTGATTACTGTTTCCAAGATGTCTGAAAACATTCTGACACTACCCTCAAGGCCCTGTGTTAAATCAGCGTAAGCTGGATGACAAAAATCAAGATTCAAAGAAACCAAGGCTGGCTGATAGGCTAACGAGGTAAAACTTAATCAGAATGTGTGTGAAGTCTTACATTCTGACTTTAAAAAACCTGTTGCACAACTAAAGGAAGATGGAAAATTAGTTTGGAATGAAGTCATGTTATGGCAATCCTCCAGATTAAAACCTTGGGATTTTAGTTAATTACAAATTCATTATGAGCCAACACTACATGGTTGCTAAAAAGCTTAGTGACTTCAGACTTCATTAATGTCCAGATGTGCGATATCCAGATCCAATTCAGCTACACTCTGAATATTATTTTTAGCTCTCAACACATTTTTGAAGGAATATTGACAAAGTGTAATGTCCATAGAGAGTAACCTGGATGGTGAAAATAGTGTCCTAATGAGGAATAGTTAGAAGAGCTGAAGAGTATTTACCTCAAAGTAGAAGTAAAAATTGTGAGGAGAGGGGTACAGAGGATAGAATAACTACCTTTAGATATCTAAAAGTCTGTGATGTAGAAAAGGAATTCACATTCTGTAAAGCTTGGGGACAGAATTAGAGTCAAGGAATATAATTACAGCCAGTAATTTCCACCCAATACAATGATGAATGGTTACCAAATCTATAGCAGTACAAAATGGATTGGGTTGCCTTGCAGATTATGAGTTCCTCCCATCACTGGAAAATACTTCAGCACGGACAATGAGAACAGAGTAAACATTTCTAAGTCTATAATTTCCCTGAAGAATTAATGCTCAATATAATCTATATGAAAATTACTTTCTTGAGATGATGTTTTATTTCTCAGGACAATAAAAAAAGACAGAAAGTGTAAAATCAATCGTCTATTCTCATTTCACAATAGAGGACATTTTGTGTGGTTCAAGTAACCACCCCATTTCAGATAATATTAGATAAAACTCCATTGATCATTAGCAGGAGAATCTCTATTTGAAGCTTTCAAGTAGATACCTCATGTTCCCAGAGGTTATTTCTATATTAATATTGGGTTGTTGGAAAAGTCATGCTGTATTTTGTCTATGTTTGTCAAAGGTCATTCATTTATATAAAGAACAAAGATCAATTAATGATATATTGCCTGTTTTGGTCGATAACCTTCTGCTATCTTTCAGTGAGCTTCATAATTCCTCGTTCATAGAAGGACCTCTCTTTATTTGCATAAAACTGAACAAGGTGCTGATTTACAGCCTTATCTGAATTGAACATTATACCATGCAAGGAGTTTTGAAGACAATGAAACAAGTGGAAGTCTGACAGCGCAAGGTCAGACGAGTATGGTGGGTGTGGCAATACATCCCATCCAAGTTCCAATAATTTTTGACATGTGATCAACTTGTGGTCTCAAGTTGTCGCAATGGAAGACAACTCCTTTACAATTAACAAGCTCTGGACATTTCTGGATGATGGATTCAAACTGTCCAATTGCCGACAGAATACATTCAAATTGATTGTTTGGTTCCTTGGTAGGAGCTTGAAAAACACGACACCTTTAAAATCCCACCACATTGAGAGTATAACCTCCCTTTGATGAATGTCTACTTTCAATGTTGTTTGAGGTGAATCAAGTTGGGACCAAGACCGTTTGCACACCACATTATTGTCAACAATCCACTTCTCATCACCAGTTATCAGTCGCTTCAAAAAAGGATTGCTTTCCTCACGTTTAATGAGCATATTGCAGATGTTTATACGCACCATCAAATGAACTTCTTTGAGTTCATGTGGAACCCAGATATCAAGCTTGCTTATGTATCCCAGCTTCTTCAGGTGGTCGTGAATGCTTGAAGATGGATGTTCAATGTTTCTGCAATCTCTCGTGTCGTGTAACGTGGGTTTGACTCGATCAATGCCTTCATTTTGTCATCATCAACCTCGATGGGCCTCCCTGACTGAGGAGCGTCATTGAGATAAAAATCAGCAGCACAGGATTTTGTGAACCATCACAGGCACTGACGTTCTTGTAGAGTATTGTCACCGTAAACTTTACACAACTTTTCACAAGCTTGATGTGCGTTCTTCCCTTTATGGAAGTAAAACAGTAAAATATGGTGAAAATTCACAGTTTGGTCTTCCATCTTCAACTTGTAAAATCTTGAAAACTCAACCAAATCGCTCTATTTTTTTTCAGAATTAAGGTAGAACAGTCAGCTGTCAAATGACATAGAAATAACATAGATGCAAACGACTCTAGTACTTCCAAAAATGAACTAGTGCCACCTGTTGCAAACATGCATCATGACTTTGCCAGCAACCCAATAATTTAGATTTCAGTTTTGAAAAGCAGGTATTTATTCAGAAGCACTCAATACTAAATATTCATGATCAAACTGTGAGGTTTTGGAGAAGTGTGAGAAAAAGGAAGTACCAGAAAGGTTAAGAGTGAAA